TAGGGAAATACTCCACAAGCTTGTATGCATCACCCTCCATGGTGCATGAAGGAGTAACTGTTTTGGTAAGTTGGGAGCTGCAGAAGTTGAATGATACCTGCTGGGAAGCACTGTCCTGGTTTAAAAAAAAATAATTAAAGGAAACATATAAAATAGAAAAAAAGATGACTTTGCCCTTGTAAAGTGGCAAAGGGTCTGATTTAAAACTGAGAAATCTGATAAAATACTGAAGGCTGTTCATCTACAGAAATGTGGGTTTAAATTGCAGATTGCTATCAAGAAGTGCATAGCAAGTGAAATACCTCATGAAACAATTAACAGGAAGCCTTGGGTTGTATGACCACGTTTCAGGAATCTTTTCACATGCTGCAAAGCAGAAACTGCAGCTCATGGGGAGCTGTGCCAGGCAAGCTTAGCAGGAGTGGACCAGGGGTTGCTCTGTGCTGTTGGTTCATGGTGGTGAATGGTAAAGTTGCTGCTTTGTTCATCAAAGCAACTCCCCAGAGACAGGAGGCAGCATCACAGATTTTGCCTGTGCTGTGGCTGTGCAGGTGGGAAATAAATTCCTGTTTAACTTTCCTAAAAAAGTGACTAATCTCGCCTCCTGGGCATCGTATGACTTGGAAGGTCTAATGTCCAAGGTTGTTGAAGCAGCTGCTGAGGGCATAATGGCAGTGTTTACATATGGTCACTTTGCTGCCAGGAATTTCTGCTTGCCCACCAATTTTGACCTCCATGTTTTTATTTAGCTGCCTATTTAAATATTAGGGAGCTATGGTGCTTCCTTAATTGTAACACTAATCTGTCTCCAGCCCCGTGGCAGTGCCATACCCTTGTTAGAGGGTCCGAAGACAGAAGGGGTCACGATTGAGGACAATGGCGAGTGCGTTATCACCCCCAGCACGGATGTGAAGTTCTCAGGCAGATTGAAGAAGAACAAACTCAACTACTGGAACGACTGGCTCCTCATAGGTACCTGCGGGGCCCGGCTCTGCCCCTCGCCGGGGTCACACTGCCACCTGCGGGACAGTCCTCGCCCAAACCTCACAGCTGTCAGTCATAGGCTGCTTCAACTCTGGAAAGAATTACTGAATTCTACTAAGAGTTTCTAATTAGTCTGCATTTGCATATGAATTCATGTCGTTAAGTACAGGCCCCAAGGCCCCTGCTTTACTCAGTGCACAGAATGGAGTGCTTAGCTCAGTATGTGAAAGGTGTTGGTTATTTGCCCCCTCCTCCACAGAGGGGTATGGGTCATTTATTATTTACTGTAAATATTGTATTCTGGTTCCTTTTGATTTTTTATTGTGCATAATGTTACTTTAATTCTCATCATATGGGTCAGATGGTCATGTTTTCCCCATTTTACAAATGGAGAATTAAGGCACAGAGGCTGAAGATAATCAAGTGCCAGCCTGTCCTGTGTGTCCCAAATCCCAAAATTTTGAAATTGACTTTTCAGGGTATGTACAGTTTTCCTTCAAAATTGAAGAACTGTCTGAATTTCAGATTTAAGTGATGCAGGTTTATAATTCAGTGATCTGTGTCACAGGTAATCCCTGTGGCAGGGATGGGGTAGAACTTCTTCACCTAGGCTACCTTTCCTAAAAAATAATAACTTTTTATTTCAACAAATGTGTTTTATTTAAAGGGCACCATGAAACACCATTATCTGCCCCGACAAAAATCCTGGAGAAATTCCCAACCAACTTACCTAAGAGGCCTGAAAACGTGATCCCGGCTGACTCTGATAAAGCCACTATTGAACAGGTTTGTGATGAGAATTAAGAATTTTACTGGATGATTAAAGAATGTAAGAAGTACAAGTTGGGGAATGAAAAGCTACACAGAATTACTTCACCTTTTTTGTGTCAAATTTTCATGTACTTAGCATGTAAATCACTGGTATGATGTGTCATGTTCCTTATTTCAGAATTAGGCCTTTCTGCTGCTTTTTTTTCCTACATGCAAAACTTTCTTTGACTTTGGTAGGATAAGAAATTATTAAAAATTATTCAGCAGAAAGGCCAGTGTATAAATGCCCATGAAGATACTGAGGTAACAAGAGCCTTTTTGTGCCTCCTAGGTTATTGATGTCATTGAAGGCTCCTCAACAGAAGTGCCTCCTGCTCTTCCAAAGGATCTGGAGGAGAAACCTGCTCGGACTGTCCCTCGGCCAGAGGCTCCTGTGGACTCCATGTTGAAGGACATGGCCACCATCATTCTCAGCACTTTCCTGCTTGTGGGCTGGGTGGCTTTTATCATCACGTACCCAATGGTAATGCTGAGTTAGTGTGATCTGCTGTTAAGTTTGGGGAGAGTCACTAACAGCCCAAGAATTTATACAGGAGATAAAAAGTAACACTACAAGGTGTTGCTTTTCCTTCCTCACAGATGTGCAGAGGTAGCAGAGGTTAGAGTTGACATAACCGTGGTTTATCTGGGTATATGTGTCAGCTCTGGAGATTTTTTTTTTCTCATCCCACCAGTTCTGGTTTTTGTATCTTTTACTCTTTGCATGGTCATGATCTTAACCCCGTTGGCTTTGCTTCTTTCTTCTTCACCTGAACCACTGTCAGGTTTCCCAGCTTTTGGATCAAGGCCTTTATCCTTCTGTGGTTTAAAGCCACCTAGTGACCCCAGAACAGCTTTTGCCACATTAACCAACGAGGATGATTTCTCAGCTTTGCAATAGAAGCTCAGAATGAAATGTGATAGTTCCCCAGCCTGTGCATCTGACAGTGTCTTAACGAGGGTTTTTCTCCCACCTTTGTGATGAGGCTGCCCCAATATCTGTAAAGTTCCCTTTTGTGATGGAAGAAATTTCACTGCACTTAGGGAACTGAGTCCTTTCTCACAGAGTATGCATCAGCAGCAACAGAGACAGCATCAGCTGGAGGAGAAGATACAGCTCCTGCAGCAACAGAAGCTGCCCTTCCGTGCTCCCAGCGACCTACCCCCAGATGCAGATTTCCTGGACACCTCTTATGGGCAGACAGAGAGCTCAGCTACCAGCACCCCAAATGTGTCCCCCAGAGCATCAAACCATTCTGCATATTCCAACGTCTCCACATCTGATGTTGGGAGCTGCCTCTCCACTGAGCAAGATGAGGGAGGTAAAGTTGATCCGGTGTCTTTTGCTGCAAGTCTCCTTATTTTGCTAGTCTGTGGGATAACACAGCACAACAATTAAAATATTTATTGAGGATATTTTGGAGATGAGAAACCTGAAAAGGACCATCATTCTCATGTAGTCTGACCATTGGCAAAACACTGTGCAGGTGTGCCATGCCCTGACTTGGAGCAGGATTATTTGCTTTAGAAAAACACCCAGTTCACAGCTGCCATCTGAGTGATGATGTTGTCCATCGTGGTACCTTCTCATAACGGGCAGCCATTCTAGGGAGAGGTTTGTTTAAATGACCAAATTATTATGATTAACTGAAGAATGAAGGATTAGGCAGCATGGCCTGCCTGCCTGTGCAGTATTCAGGGAAACTGCCAGCAACCCACTACCATAACTGTCAGACAGTATTTCCTAAATTCAACAAGACCTGTAAAACTTCCTAAAAAGAGTTTGTCTGCTTAGAACCACCAATTGCTGATACCACCTTGAGCCATGGTCTTTCCAGACCTTATGTCAGGTGTTAGGTAGACAAGGTGTCTGACTCTGTTTGGTCAATCATTTGCTCACCAATATTTGCCTTCTCAGTGTGAGTACCAAAATGCGGGTGTTAATTTGTTGTCATCATCTGTGGTGTTAATTTTTAACATGAGCAAAAAAGACTTCTCCATCCTGGCCCAGAAAGACATGCAGTTGTCGGAGGCCGAGTGGGCCCATCTACACCAGTCCTTGTTTCTTTTTTGTTCAGATGAGGATGCAAATAGAGTGATGGTTGGCAAGATTTCCTTTAACCCGAAAGATGTCCTGGGACACGGTGCTGAAGGGACAATTGTTTACAGGTAAAGACAAAAATGCACATTTAACATGAAGTAGAACAATGAATGCCTTTATACATCTTCTTAAAAACAAAACCAAAACAACACACGTATCTAATGTGAACAGAAACAAAACTATTTTGTGTGTCTGGAATATTCTCATGCAGTGTTTCTTCACTATGCTTGGTTTAATGACCAAATGTAGCCGTTTCCAGCGTCATTAATGCTTTAATGTGCCTCTGTAAAATGTCGTCTGTCACTTGCTGTACTCATGCTTTGTCCACAGAGTGCACAAGGCTGATGTGGCTTTCCTTCCTGTCTGCAGGGGGACGTTTGATAACCGTGATGTTGCAGTGAAAAGAATCCTCCCAGAGTGCTTCAGCTTTGCAGACCGGGAGGTGCAGCTGCTGCGGGAGTCGGATGAGCATCCCAACGTGATCCGCTACTTCTGTACGGAGAAGGACCGGCAGTTCCAGTACATCGCCATCGAGCTCTGCGCTGCCACGCTGCAGGAGGTGACAGCTCAGGGGCTAACCTACAGGCTGTGGAAGTCTTGGTCCTGGAGGCCTTCAGCTTCCTTAGCTCCTTTCAGCTTCCTTAGTTCCCTTCAGCTAAGTTGCTGAAGTGTCTGCTGTGGGAGATGATGTAGCTAATCCTGCCGTCACCTCTGTGACAAGTGCCCATTCTTACACCAGGGGTGTTTGCAGACCTTCAGAAAGACATCACTGACCCTGTGCTGATTTAAGGAGAGCTGTTGTTGTTCTCTGTCCTTCTTGTGAAGGACTCCCTTCCAGTCATCTGCCCACTTGCACGGTCCACACTTTGAAGACCCTCTGCTCTTGTTTCTGGAGCACAGTATTAAAATACCATTTTAGCTCTCATTGACATTTTAGAGATCAACACTTTCAGCAAACAACAACAAAGGTTCTTTTCTGTGTGTTACCAGCTCAGATTAGCCTTCAATTTAACCTAAGGTTTTATTTGGGGATGGGGGAGGAGGACAATCTGTACAGGGGCTAATGACAAGCAACGTTGTAACTGAATCTTCTGTTTTTCTGTTGTAATTTCTAGTACGTTGAGCAGAAGGCCTTCAGTCACCACGGTTTACAGCCCATCACTCTCCTGCAACAGACAACATCTGGTCTTGCTTACCTGCACTCCCTCAGCATCGGTAAGAACTCTGCTTGTTTCAGTGTCACTACATTTTAATTACTGTTTTTTAAAAAAGAGAGAAACTGGTCTGGGTGCTGGAAGCTTGTACGTTCATTCCTGGAAGAGAATCCAAGAGGCTCCACCTGGTGGTGGCAGCAGTGGTGTCCGTCCTTTGACACAGTCCCTGACCCTGTAATGTTCTGCTGCCTTGGAGTAGTACAGCTAGTCACTGCCACTTGTGCAGGAGGCTGAACAGTGGCCTTGTTTGTATAGAAGTCATACAAAACATGATGACTAGTGGTGATGGAATTTAAAAAAAGGGATGAGCCTCTACCACAGACAGCAGTTTGAGGTTTTGTGAATGATGGGTCAGCCTGCTGAAAAGTTTTCAATGCAAACACATTACAAATGTACAAATATAATTGGGATTGCCTGGAGTTGGATACATGAGTGTTTGTCACAGTCCACAGGGACCTGAAGCCCCATAACATCCTCATTTCAATGCCCAACGCCCACGGGCAAGTCAAAGCCATGATTTCAGACTTTGGGCTGTGCAAGAAGCTGGCCGTGGGCAGGCACAGCTTCAGCCGCCGCTCGGGCGTGCCCGGCACTGAAGGGTGGATCGCCCCGGAGATGCTGAGTGAAGATTCCAAAGAGAACCCTGTAAGTCTTCATCCTGCCCTCGGGCTCCCTTGGAGGAGGCAGCACACCCTTGCAGTCAGGTCATTCGCAGAACCATAGAATAGGTGGGGTTGGGAGGGACCTTCAGATGTCATCCAGTCCAACCCCACGTGATTTCTCAGAAACATTTTCTTCTGCTCCTTAGATGCTAAATAACCACCCTGTGATGATGGCTTTAGGTGGGGAGGGGAAAAAAAAACACGTTATTGCTACTAAAGGTAATTCATTTGCAGACATGTACCGTGGACATCTTTTCAGCTGGCTGTGTCTTTTACTACGTGGTGTCTGAAGGCAGCCATCCCTTTGGCAAATCCCTGCAGCGCCAGGCCAACATCCTGCTGGGCGCCTACAGCCTGCAGGCTCTGGACGCAGGGAGGCACGGTAAGAAAACATCAAGTTGTTTAGTGAACTCTCCATGGGTGTTTGTTAAAATACCCAATGAAATGACAGAGCTGGGACCCACAGTGATTCCCCCCCAACCTGGCAGTGGTGAGAGCTGTACTCCTAAAAAGCCTGAAGTTTTTCAAATGAACAGCCCAAAGCACCTTCAAGATCCTAAACTTGGAACCCGGGGAGTTATTTAATGTATTTAAGGGGTAGGAAAGAGCTGATCTTTGATCTTCATAACGACACTGATTTAACACAACTGCTTATCTGCTGGTTGCCCAGTGTATCTCTGGGGCTAATGTTCAGGGTCATGTTGGAGGAAGTAGAAAACATATGGATTTTCTAAAGTACAACACATTAGATTTCCCTAC